CTTTTCAGCGTTGCATGAATGACCTGTTTAGACCGTGGTTAGATAAATTTGTGGTAGTCTACTTAGATGATATCCTAGTCTTCAGTAAGACCCTCCAGGAGCATCAATGTCATCTGAGGCAGGTCTTGGAGAAGCTTAGAGAGGCTAACTTCAAGATCAACGCGAAGAAGTGTGAGTGGGCCAAGACACAAGTTTTGTACTTGTGCCACGTATTAGACGGAGATGGCATCAAGCCAGAGGGCAGCAAGATCGCGGCGATTAGAGATTGGCCGACGCCCCGCACATTGACAGAGTTGCGGTCGTTCCTAGGCTTAGATAACTACTACAGGAAGTTCGTGAGGAACTTCTTCACTATCGCCGCTCCCTTGCGCCGATTGCTGAAGAAAGAGGCAATCTGGCAATGCGCTCAAGAAGCTAAAGCGCGCTCAAGAAGCTAAGCCGCTCCCTTGCGCCGATTGCTGAAGAAAGACTGTACGTTTGCGCTCAAGAAGCTAAAGGGCGCGTTAATAGAGTATCATGTCCTCAAAGTTGCAAATTCGTCTTTGCCATTTGTCGTCACCACGGACGCGAGCCAGTATGGAATAGGCGCCGTGTTGCAGCAGGACGACGACAATGGCTATAGACCCGTAGAGTTCATGTCAGCGAGGATGCCCTGTGAGAAGGTCGCTACCTTAACGTACGAGAGAGAACTCTACGCTCTCCGGCAGGCTTTAGACCATTGGAAGCACTACCTGCTTGGGAGGCACTTCAAAGTGTATTCGGACCACGAAACGCTTAGATGGTTAAGGACTCAGGCCAAGATGACACCTAAGTTGACTAGGTGGGCCGCAGTGATAGACCAGTTCGACTTTGAGCTCAAGCCAGTGAAGGGCAAATACAACGTAGTTGCGGATGCTCTGAGTAGGAGATCAGACTACTTTGGAGCCGTAGTACACTATCTGCATATAGGGAGAGACCTGCAGGAGAAAGTGAGACAAGCGTATACGCAGGACCCTATCTATAGTGACCTCCTAAAGAGAGTTAAAGAGGCCCCAGAGACCGAACCAGATTACCGCACTACAGACGGGTTGCTGTTTGAGAAGACTAATGTGTTTGACCGCCTGTGCGTTCCCAACAGCGAAGAGATCCGCAGTTTAATTTTAGGGGAATGCCACGATACTGAAGGGCATTTCGGTTGGCAAAAGACATTAGCCATCCTGATGCGTGCATATACCTGGCCCGGGATGAAAAATGACTGCATAGAGTATGTCCGCAGTTGTAAAGTGTGCCAGAGGAATAAGTCTACTACACGTGCGCCCCTAGGTCTTCTCAGACCCTTGCCTATTCCGGATCAGCGGGGAGACTCAGTGTCCATAGACTTCATGGACAAGCAAGTCAAGAGCAGACATGGTAAGAGCAAAGTCATGGTCATAGTCGACCGTTTTAGTAAGTATGCAGTTTTTGTTCCTTTGTCTGCAGAGGCACGTACAGATCTAGTAATACAGAAGTTGTTTGACTTTTGGGTTAGTGAGAATGGAATCCCGTTGTCAATAGTTAGTGATAGAGATAGTCGTTTCACCAGCCAGAACTGGCAAGAACTCATGAGAGTCTACGGATCTAAGTTGTTAATGTCATCCGGCCGTCACCCAGAGACTAACGGTCAGACAGAACAGATGAACAAGATCCTACAGCAAGTTCTGCGCATGTACTTCAGACCAGATCAGATTAACTGGGATGAAATGTTGCCTAAGGTAGCTAGTGCATACAACAACAGCGTGCATCTATCCACCTGCCGCACTCCCAATGAGTTGCACAAGTCCTTTAGACCACGCAGACCGTTCGAAGGACTGAACCGGGATCAGATTCACAGATTACCGCCCGGTACCAGGGAGTTTGCGATACAGCACGAAAAGGAGTTAGCCACTGTTGTTGAGAACCTTCAGAAGGCCCAGCACAGAATGATAGAGCAGGCTAACAAGCACCGTCGCCCATCACAGTTTCAAGTAGGCGACTTAGTCTGGGTCAAGGCAAAAGAGTTTGCAACAGAAGAAAACATCTCGCAGAAGTTACTGCCTGCATATAGAGGACCGTGGCCAGTTCTAGAAGTCAAGGGCGGAGAGGATGGACCGTCCTACAGCATTGAGATTCCAGCACACCTCCACACATACCCTGTGTTTCATGCTTCAAAGCTACTGCCGTGTGTCACTAGTCAACAGT